AAAGTGACAGAGCAGGCTTCGTGTTGCATACAAATGTTGGTGGCCATCACAAAATCCTCACCTCATATCCTGTGGTAATCACTTCCGTAAAGTAAGCAGGAAATAGGTTAGTAGTAGGCTGCTTCACCAGGAGTCATTTCAAATGTATTGTCACCTAAGGTATAACTTCCAAAGATGGAAAGAGATAAAGCCACTGAGTCAGCCCTCTTAATCCGTCTACAGCCACCAAGGTAATTACAGTTTTTAAAAACTCTACTCATAATTCATTGCTTTCATATCTAAAGTTAAGAGATCTAAAAGTTCTCCCACATCCCCACTTAGTAGTCATCACTAAGGTGAAAAAAGCCACCAGTATCAGCCTGGTCTCTTTTATCAGCAGTTTAGAAGTACTACAATTTTCCCATCTGACTCACATCTAAATGACCCGCATCTAAAATGTTTTTCCTTCATTTTCCTTCTGTAAAGAGCTCATTTAAACTCTGATACTGTTGCTTTTCAAAAATTTCTAAAGAAAGAAGCATCTTGGAACAATGTATTAACTTCTGCATCAACTTTTATTTTATATAATAATTTTATATAATTTTTTAAAGGCAGATGTGTGTTTACTTTGAGAAATAAAAATGTTAACATTGAAACTGAAAGCCTGTTTCAGTTTTAAGGTACTTAATTGCCTTACAGCATATAATAAACCGAGGCCATCTTGTCCTTCAACTAATGGAGGGAGTGATAAAGAGATAGGAGCCCGGGACCCTATTCATTCCAGTTTTCCTTTGTACTTGGTTTACTTTGGCACCATGCCTTATGTGTATTTTACACTTCTTTACATTTTGTACATCCCTGTATGACAAATACTTGTCAAACAAAAACTAAACAGATTTATAACCCCTTAACTTGAAATGAGCCAAAATTGAACTGCCAAAACTTTATGACTTCATTTTCTTTCATAGTTTTCCACTACATTGGTTCAAACAGACAAACCCCACTTGAGGTCAAGCAGAGGTCATTTCACTTCATTACTAAAATTAAATTTACAATATGCCAGACCTAAACAAGTTTAGCCTAAAGGGTTTGTATAATGTAAACCATCTGTTCCTCAACAATTACAGCTAATTTCCTGCCATCACCGTCAGTCTACTGACTGCTTCTTTAAGAGTTTTATGATTTTTTAACTAGTTCAGGATTTATGTAAAATTTGAAATGAGTCTATAGTTAGGACTCATTTGTACCAGGTAACTTGAGCACCTTAAAAATGCAAATCACTGTGGAAATTGTTCCCCTGAAACCAAGCTAGGAGCATTTTTTTTTCTGGGCACTTCTTTGCTGGCAGCTGCACAGGTGTTCGAAGGCGAAGATTTTGTGGACTCTGCCATTTTAGAAGATTTCCATGCCTCTTTGCAAAGCAATACCCCCCAAATTTTAGTTTTCAGTAGCTCTAGTAAATGACTCCTTGAGAAGACTTGGGATTATATGCTATATGGCCCACTGGATATGGTGAGATAGGGACAAAGATATACTTCGTAAATCTACTTTCTTTCATGTGTCTGAACAGGGAGAAAGAACAATTATAATTCCATAGAGTGACCACATACTGAGGCCAACCTCCTAGCCCTGCAAGGTGGCAGGCCTCAGGCTGAGCCTCACAGGACATTCGACTTCAATCTGGGATTGCTGGCCAGCAGGCTTCCTGGTTTCAAACAGAATGCTGTGGCCCAAAAACAGAGAGCCATGGAGTTGCAAGTGTGGCTGTTTCGGCTCTCCTGAAAATTCTTGATACTTTCTTTAGCCCCTTTCTCCATCTGTAAAATGGCAAATTAAGCGTTCTTTTTCCAAAGCAAATATATGAGAAACAAATGTGCTTACCTCAGTGGAGGGGAATGCAGCTGGTCTTAAGCCACGAAGCCCCAAGGCCATGTGTAGGGCTGGTGCCAAGGTCCTGTTCCACCTCTTCCTCTTTTCCACCCTCCAGAAGTTTGGACTGGCTTACTTCCTTTTCCCATCTGCTACCATCCACTTTTCTACATGAATTCTTGTTGCCTTCACCTTCATTCACATCTCAGAGGAGCCAGCCACAGGCCACTCAACTTCTCACCTACCCTCAAGCTCCAAAACAAATTCTCTGTCATTTTTAAAGCTTTTTTTTTTTTTTTTTAACTAACAACTGCAGGAGAACAAGAAAGATTAACAGGAAGAAATTTAAATACTCTGGAACTACTTAAGGCTTAAATGGATCTAAATTGTTTGCATTACTTTACTTCATGGATGACTTTCTAATAAGGACAATAGAATGATTTAAAGAGGCCACTTATTAGGTGGCAATTACGTTCATACATCGTTGTATTTAATTTCTACTGCAACCGCGCAAGCAGATAGTACATTATTTCATAGATATGGAAACAGAGGTTCAGAAAAGTTTAAAAAATTTACCCAAGGTCAGTGATTAATATTATAGGGCCTATGCCACAGGATCATGGTGTTAAATAAGTTATATTTGCTAAGTGCTTTAGAACAGTAACTGGCACAAAGTAAGTGCTATGTAAGTATTAACTATTATTAATAGAAAGCAGCAGATTCAAGACGCAAACCCAAATTTGTAGGAGTCCAAAGCTCACTTGGTTTGAATTATACCATACTGCCTATGGATTTGTTTCAAGCAGTGAAGGAGAGAGGGTATTGGGTTTCTAACTCCTCATTATTCCAGTCTAATATTCCATGAGTTTACTTCCTAATTCCCATTTTCCACAAAGAAGTTTCAGTACTCAGTCCCTTAAATTCTCTATCTCCAAAAGCCTAGAGATCTTATTTTTGTCAAAAAGTAAGTGATATCTACTGTGCCATTCAGGGGACCTTCACCTAAACTGGATTTATTACATCATTAGGAAAAGTTCTGATGGAAATCTCCAATCTTAACATCATGCAGGAAAAATTCACTTTGGGTTACTCTTGCCAGCAAAAGTAAAATCTTCTGAGCGCTACAAGACAAAAAAGTAGGGTTGGCTCGACTGGTTACCTTTCTCATTACCCACACCTTGCTCTCTCAAAGGAATTCCACGAGCTCCCACAAGAATACAGACCCTAAAAGCAAAAGGGAAAAATGGTGGATGGACTTGTAATTGCAAAAGATATTTCCTAGTTCAGTAAGATGGGAAGATTTCCCTGGTTTTTTAAAAAAATTAATTAATTTTGAGCGCTGTTAATATTTTTCACCTGGTTGAAAAAATTTCAAAGCATAAAAAAGCATGAAGTGAAAAATCTCTTACTTCTGCCCCCCTTTTCTAGTTCCTACTTCCATACCCCCAATAATCACTGCTATCTATTTCCCAAGTATCCTTTTATAGTTTCTTTATGCTTATACAAAGAAATCTATTTATGTGTTATTTTCTCCTTCTCTCTTACACAAAAGCAGCACCCAGCATTAACTGTTCTGTTGCTTTTATTTTTAGCTGAGCAAAGGATTTTGTAGACCTTTCCATACCAGTACATAGGAAACGTCCTCATTCTTTTTTTACAAATGTTAGAATATTCTATTTACTAGCTCCACCGTAATTGATTTAATGTGTTCTCTATGGGGACAGGGAGGTCATTTGTAATATTTTGCTGTTACAAACAATACTATATTGAATAGAACTAGATCAATAAGCTTTAATTTGCTGAAAGTTAAAGCAACACATTACCATTACTTTCTGTACAAGTAAACTTTCTAAAACTCATTTCCAAATATAAACCTCACAAAGTCTGCTTTGATGAACAAATGAGACCAATTTTATAATGAGACAGATTATTTGCATAGAATAATTAATGTTCTAAAATCCCCAATCCCAATTTGTCCTTTTAAGTGGGTATTTGCTGCAAGTTTATTTACACTTACAATTAGGTTAGTGGGCATTTTGCCCTGGAAAATATCAGCCTAGAACAAATCTAATTACCATGAATTCTAAATAGCAGAGTTTGGATAAGAGAATTTTTTAACCAAATTTTCTAAACTGTTGTTTTAAAACTCTGTGCAGAGAGCTCTGGATTTCATATGTATTTCAACATTGTCAGTTCAATTAGAATTTTCAGGGTAGTATTCTTTTTAAAAAAATAAGGATTTCAAGGATGGGGATTATTTGAAAATCAGTTGTATGTAAAATGCATTGTTTTTATTACTTTCTTTTCTAACAAATTAAATGAAACATCAGACTAAATTGAGGTATATTTTAAAATAGTAAAAACATATGACATTATAGACATTTACTTGCCAAGATCAAATGTCATGATTCAATACTTATTTCATTGTGAGCTAGATGCCTTCACCTGTCTGTCTTAAGGTCAATTAACAAAGAACCCACTTGAGAAGCCCTAGGATATACGTTGGTATGAAGGGCAGTGCTTCCAGTAAGATTTCCCTTGAATCTGGTGTGAGGACAAAATATGTGCATAAAAAGAACAGAAACATCAAGTTGATGATAATAACAAAAGGTTAAATAGTACTTATCATGGGCCAGACATGGTTCTGAGTATTTTACAAACATAACTCATAGGTCTGAGTGCTTACAAACATTAACTCATTAAAAGTTTGCAATAACATGGTAAGTACAATTATTATCATCCCATTTATAGATGAAGGAATTGAGGCACGAAGTTAAACGTTGTATCCGGGGTCACACAGCTGGTAAGTAGAGAAGGCAGGATTCCGACTCAGACTGTCTGGCTATGGAGCCACGTGTGTAACCAGCCACCACACTGCTTTGTGTGTGTGGGTGGCATTCACAGTAAAGGCAAAAGATTCTAGCAAAGAAATGACCATAGTGGTCAGGGAAGTTTTGTAGGAAGTGGGGCCTGAAACAGAATTTTTAGAAAAGAAAAGATTTAATCAATGGAGAGGACCACATTTCAGACCTTCCCATCTCTATTGTGAGTACTTCAGAAGGACAATCTTTTGTTTGGTTTCTCTTTAGCACAATAAATATTCTAAGAATGGCAGAACATTGGAGAAACAAAAGTATTACGCAACAATGTAAATGGTTTCGGGGGTGGACATTGAGAAAACCTGTTTAACTAAAGAAGTAGCAAGGGATCATGTCAGGAAAGTGAGTTAGGACCAGATTACAAATGCTCTTGATACCAGGCCGTAGCCTCTGCGGTAGTGTTTCTGACACCCTAATCTTCACAGAAACCACTGGGGTCTTGCTGATTCAGTAGGTCTGAGGTGGGCCCAAGAGTCCGCATTTGCAGTAAGTTTGGGTGATGCTGATGCTGCTGGTCCCCAGACCACAGTTTGAGTGCCAAGACTCTAGACAACAGCAAGAAACCATTTCGGGGCTGGGTTGAGGGAAGGGGATAGGGTAGTGATGGAAAGTTGCCTGTGGCACCTCCCCTGAGTTGCAGCCAACAATTTGAAAGATATACAGACCTACAATATTTTATTTATTTGTTTATAGAACCTTTTTCTATATGCCCCATCCCTCCTTTCGGATGCAAAGCGTCTTGCCTGAAGAAATGTTTTAAACCACCTTTTTCCTCTCTTTCATACAGAGCAAGGCTAAAGAGCTGCCTCTTTCTGCTGTACGCTTTATGGAAGAATTGGGTGAATGTGCTTTGGAAAAATCTATAAAGGCCATCTCTATCTCCCAGGCATGGACCATGCTCAGCTGGTTGCTATTCAAGACCTTGAAAGATTATAACAATCCCCAGCAATGGACAGAATTTCAACAGGAAGCCTCCCTAATGGCAGAACTGCACCACCCCAATATTGTCTGCCTGCTAGGTGCCGTCACTCAGGAACAACCTGTGTGCATGCTTTTGAGTATATGAATCAGGGGATCTCCATGAGTCCTCATCATGCGATCCCCACACTCTGATGTTGGCTGCAGTAGTGATGAAGATGGACTGTGAAATCCAGCCTGGACCATGGAGATTTTCTGCACATTGCAATTCAGATTGCAGCCGGCATGGAATACCTGTCTAGTCACTTCTTTGTCCACAAGGATCTTGCAGCTCGCAATATTTTAATCGGAGAGCAACTTCATGTAAAATTTCAGACTTGGGGCTTTCCAGAGAAATTTACTCCGCTGATTACTATAGGGTCCAGAGTAAGTCCTTGCTGCCCATTCGCTGGATGCCGCCTGAAGCCATCATGTATGGCAAATCTCTTCCGATTCAGATATCTGGTCCTTTGGGGTTGTCCTGTGGGAGATTTTCAGTTTTGGACTCCAGCCATATTATGGATTCAGTAACCAGGAAGTGATTGAGATGGTGAGAAAACGGCAGCTCTTACCATGTCTGAAGACTGCCCACCCAGAATGTACAGCCTCATGACAGAGTGCTGGGAATGAGATTCCTTCCAGGAGACCAAGATTTAAAGATATTCACGTCCGGCTTCGGTCCTGGGAGGGACTGTCAAGTCACACCAGCTCTACTACTCCTTCGGGGGAAATGCCACCACACAGACAACCTCCCTCAGTGCCAGCCCAGTGAGTAATCTCAGTAACCCCAGATATCCTAATTACATATTCCCGAGCCAGGGTATTACACCACAGGGCCAGATTGCTGGTTTCATTGGCCCGCCAATACCTCAGAACCAGCGATTCATTCCCATCAATGGATACCCAATACCTCCTGGATATGCAGCGTTTCCAGCTGCCCACTACCAGCCAACAGGTCCTCCCAGAGTGATTCAGCACTGCCCGCCTCCCAAGAGTCGGTCCCCAAGCAGTGCCAGTGGGGTCGACTAGCACTGGCCATGTGACTAGCTTGCCCTCATCAGGATCCAATCAGGAAGCAAATATTCCTTTACTACCACACATGTCAATTCCAAATCATCCTGGTGGAATGGGTATCACCGTTTTTGGCAACAAATCTCAAAAACCGTACAAAATTGATGCAAAGCAAGCATCTTTGCTAGGAGATGCCAATATTCATGGACACACCGAATCTATGATTTCTGCAGAACTGTAAAATGCACAACTTTTGTAAATGTGGTATACAGGACAAACTAGACGGCCGCAGAAAAGATTTATATTCAAATGTTTCTATTAAAGTAAGGTTCTCATTTAGCAGACATCGCAACAGGTATCTTCTGTGAAGTTTGACTGTGTCTTACCAAGCAGGACAGACACTAGGCCAGAAAAAAAAAAAACATTGTGGGATGTACACTCCATTGGAGTGCATGACATGGCATTGGGATTGGAACATGTGGTTTCAAGTACTGAAAACTGCACACCAGTGAAGAGAAAAAGAACCTTGTGATTAAATATAAAACCAAAAGTCAAATGGTGCTTTGTGTTTTAGCCTTCAGTCACCATGACTGGTCTCTCCCCCCAGATGTATATATGCCATAGCATTTGTCTACCTGCTGTCTTTTCTTCAGGACAGATGTTCAGGAATTATATTGATTCGGTTTAGACTCTGCGCATGTTCTTATGGAAATGATGTTCAGAATCAATGAAGAAACTTCAGGCCAAATTTGAAACCCTGGAGGGAAATGAGCCATAAGACAAGTATAACAAGCCCTGAAGCCTTCTATGTCGTTGGGCTTCTTTGAGAAGGTGTAGAGTGTGCCTTTTTTGTGAATCCTCCTCTGATCATGAGGGTCTTTCCCAGATTTTCTCACAGTGTGCTTACACTGCCCTTGGAATAACACAGGGCGTCAGACCATAAAAAGGCTAGATGTGGGTGCTAGAATTGATTGTTGGTTGATAGTTCACTTTGCTGGATAGGAATGAGGCGCCAAAGGAAGCACAGCCAGGAAAATGGCCCCACAGCCTAGATCAGTTTCTGTGGGAAAGGAAAAAGAGTTCCCATGGGGACAGCCCCCAAAGGAGTTTTCTGGAACCAGTAACACTGAAAAATAAGTGTGTGGCTACAGATGAGCACACCCACCCCTTGCAACTCCCTGTTACAAGTTGTCCGAGGCATTGGGGTGCTTATGGTCAATGGACTCTAGGGGAAGTAGGAAACTCCATCATGATACCCAATGTCTAGTAATTTTTAAGTTTCTCTCCCTTTTTTCTGTGCTGGTAATGATCACAGATTTGATTCCCGCCCCAAGAATTACAACAATTTATTCATACAGTTAGTTGGAATCCAAAGGTAATTAATTCTATTTTGCAAAATATGATGGTCTTCCTAAAAAACAAGTACTGAGTTCTCATTCCCAAAAGTTACCAAGAACTGAATTCTTTAAACTAGCAAACAGAAGCACATGACCATTTTTGCCCTTAGTGGGAGGTTTCAGATGTGCAGCTTGTGGCATTTACCTGCCAACCATCTTTTGCCAAGTTTAGAATTCTTACGCGTTTCAAGTTCTGTATAGAAAGTAATTTTACTTTTGATTTTTTTCTTGTTAAAAAAAACCCTCCTTTGTTCTAAGAACAGTGTCTCAAAGTCTCATTTTTACTTTAAAGGTATAAGAGACTTGTAAAGAGACTTACAGGATATAAAAGTAATTCCCGGAAATGATATTTGATGAGGAGAATATAAGAGAATTAAAAACACATTGATGTTTTCATTTTTACAAAATACAACTTGCATGAGAAATCAAGAAAATATGTTTACCAAAATGCATTGCAATTTTCCCAAACCTGAGTCTTCAAATAACAAACATGAACTTACAGGTACTGTGAACTCGAAGAATTGGCTATATCCAGATTTCTGGGAGATAAATTAAGACCTATTTTTGTGGCATAAATAAGCTGATTCAGAAGTTACGTTTCTTAACTTTAGGTAGAGGAGAATATTTGTATCCTTTTGTTGCTATGCAACTGTTTAATGATGAAGCTTCAAACCACAATTTGTATATCATATGACAATCAATTGTTTTCCAAGAATATTTATTATTTTAAGTACACAATTTCAGTGAATCTGAGTTTTTCTAGAAGTCCCTTAAAGGGAAATTAGCATTCCATGAGCCAGTAAAATACCTACTCTGGTAAAACATTATTATGGTTAAAAAGTAAATTCAAGTTAGTTTTTTATAAAGAACTATAACATTTATTGTAAACATTTTATAATAACTGAAAACATTAAAGTGAGCAAATGAAATTTCAAAAACCACTTGTAATAATGTATTTTATAATCGCACTGTGATACTATATAACACAGTCTCTTTTGTATTAAAATAGTATTTTTTTCACAAACTGAAAATATCTTTTCCTTTGCTGACAGTGTTTTGTAAGATGACTTTGTTTTCAGATCTTTTTCTCTTTTTTTGCACAAAACTATGCTTATGGTTTGTGTCACAGAAGTGAAAATATATCTTTGCATTTTATATCTGGTCTGTTTTTCTTGTTTCCTTTGTTTTTAACTTGATATAGATTTCTTCAAATATATAACGGCAATTTTCAGATATCTCACCCTACCATATCTTTCCTTATTTTCACTGCATGCATTTAATCACTGTATTACTTAATGTTTGATTTGTTATTATGGGCATTTCAAATAGACAAAACATTGAATTGTAATGACAAAAAGGCTATTTTATATTAAGGATATATGCATTTGTATTTCACACACCAGAGATGATATTAAACACTGATTATTTTATGCTGCTGTTTATTAAAAATGTTTACTATAAATATTATTTCCTGAATATTGCTGTCATAGAGGTATTTGGGAATTTTAATATTTACATTTTATAGAAAGAGAAATCACAATTCCTCTTTGCTGTTATTTCATTAATTTTTTTTTCAGTAGGCTTTTAAAACAGACTTGGGCATTATTTTGCTAACAACCATAGGTGGGAGGGGAATCCTAATGATTTCATAACTGAATACTATCCACCTATATATGGCAAGTTTTGAATTTTTAAAATCAAAATAATATATTGAATAGTTACAACCAATGGAATATAAAAAATGTTTGATTTTAAGAATACAGTTGCATCATTTTCTGCCTTGATGCAAATTAAAGTCATGAGATGACACTGATATTTCCCATTCTTTAGTAAAGATTAAAAACCTGAGAGCACCCAACATGAGTGAAGGTGTATTCAGATGGGCATGCTTGGCCTTGGCAGGTGGGCATGTGAATTGGCCCAGCCTTTCTGGTGGTAATTTGGTTAATCTACCCAATGCCTTAAAAACGTTAAGGCTGGTATGGTGGTGCACATTTGTAGTCCCAGCTTCAGGAGGCTGAGGCGGGAGGATTGCTTGAGCCTAGGAGGTCAAGGCTGCAGTGAGCCATGATCAAGCCACTTAACTCCAGTCCGAGTGACAGAGTGAGACCCTGTCTCAAAAAATAAAATAAAAATAAATCATAAAATAAAACCCTCATAAAATAAAAATAAAAATAAAAATGTTTATATCCTTGAATCTAGAATTTCCACATCTGGGGATTAATCCTAAGGCAATCATTTTCTTTTTATTTATTTATTTATTTAGGCAATCATTTTCTTATCCCACTCCTCCATACAAAAGGCTATTAACCTTCTGGGCTAGAGCCAGCTCATTCTAGCTCTTGAGAGATGAGTGTTAAGTATTCTGGACAATTCACCAGCCAGTTGTTAGACTGTTGGTAGCTTGGCCCCGACACGGTGCAATATTACACCATGGGCATCAGCAATGGCTACAACTCAGAGCTCTGCATTTTTCTGGAAAGCTGGTTTGTCAGCTCACGAGACACACACCCACCATGCTATTCTGTAGCCACTCACTCATCTGGACATCCCAGTGAAGACAAGGTTCAGTGTGTATGTGAGGTAGACACAGCAGGCTACGTGCTGCGGATTATGGAGAAAATGGAGCGAGTGTTGGAGTATGTGTGTTTAGATGTGTGTGGAAAGCCTCTTAGAGGAGACACAGTGCCCAGGACCAGCTGCTGCCTCAGGATGCAAAGGCAGTGGGAATGAACGAGAGAAACTCACTTTTTCTACATATCCTTATGTAGTCTTTGAATTGTTTCCATGTTCCAAATTTTTTTAATGCAAAAGACAGTAAAAAAGAAAAAATCTTTTTTCACAATTATGTTCTTCTTGTTGTGAGTTGTTTGTGAATGTGAAAAATGAGACAACATAGCTGTCCGTGTAAAAGGGAAGGCTGAGTAAATCCCGCACGGTGGCCCCAGGCTGGGACACCATGAGCTTATTACAAGTGGGTGTTCACAATTATTATCATAATGGGGAAGCTGCTACTGAGTTTACTGCAATAAAGCCTATTAGATAGTTGTATACACAGTATTATCTTGATTGCACAAAAAAACCCCCAAACACGTTGGTGGGAAATATTCCAAACCATATACAGTGTGTTTCTGGTTAGTATTGTTATGAACAATTTAAATTTTCTTTTGCATTTTTTCCTGCACTTTTCCGATTTCCTGTGTTGACTATGAGTTACTTTTGTATCCACTTCCCTGCAAAATTCTATGTTTTGGTACAAGGGCTGAGGCTAGGCAAATTGTATCCGCCACAATCCTGGCAGGTCGCACCACCCTTGCGGCTGGCCTGGGCCTTCCACAGCCTTCCTGGTGTAAGGTCTGTGTTTCTGTGTCCTTCCGACCACTGCACCCTCGCCTGCCCTGACTGTGGTCCTGGCCCCATCTCTCCCCTTTTGGTGTGCATGTGACCGCGGGGGCCACTCCTTCCGCCCTGGCTCAGCCCCTGCGAGGACCCTGGGCCTGGAGCGAGCCTCTGGGCTGGGATTCCCTCAGCTGCAGAGGGAACGATGACAAAGCCTCTCCTCCTGCGGTGCTGTGACAGTGAAGCACAGTGCATGGGCCGTGCATAGGACTGGACAGACACATGGCACAGTTCAACAAACCAAATGTCATCAGGCTTGGCCAGAGGTAGAAGGAAAATCCCATTTCAGGCATTTTTGGGGTCTCCCTCCCTAGTGTCACATGAATCCCAAGGAAGAGAGGCTGAGGGTCTCACAGTGACCCAAGAGTCTGCCAGGAGTTTTCTGGGACTTCTCCTTGCCTGCGCCGATGAGTCCTTTTAAACGGGAAGTAAGTCTCTGACGGGGGCTTGGAAGATAGCAATTCCATAGTGCAAAAAATCCACCACAAAACACTGTTTTTCTGTTATGCCCGAGCCACATAACGGGGGTGGTTCCTCCTTATCCACAGTTTCAGTTACCCGTGGCCAACCACCATCCAAAAATAGGTGAGGGTAGTTCAAGAAGATATTTGGAGAGAGAGAGGCTA